CCCCGGGAGCGGCTTCTTTGCGCTTAACAACCTGACGTGGGTTTCTCCTATGTGGCCTTGTCCACTCACGCCTTGACCTTATGTTAGGTTTTTTGCCGTATGTTATGTATGCAGCACCCTGAGGCAGCTCCAGGGTGTTCCTGGGTTTTACTGATTCTGCCCCTTTAAAGTTCTCTTAAGAGAGGTGGGGGGGAAAAAATGTAGTTGTTTTTGGTTGGTTAGTTTGTCGTCTGCTCACTTCCTGTAGAACCTGGATACCCTAAAGTTTTTAAAGGGACTGCTGTCGTTCTGGGAGGAACTGATAGCAGGTTACTCGTTTGGAGCTGCTGGGAATATGGTACAAAGCCACCTTTGGGAGGAAACGTAGAAGGTATAAAGGCATCCCTGAGCAGAAGGACAAAATGGGCGACTGAACAAGAAGAGAAATTTACGTGTGAGGCTGTTGTACAGGATAGTTAGCAAATTTACTCAAACCAAAGTTAAGATGGTTAAAACAAGTTGTGGGATGATCAGACAGAATTGTATGGTAAAATTTAATTGCTAAGGCAGGGCTTAGGCTTAAAGGACATCTCTGTCCATGTGACAACACAGGTGTTACTGCAGTACTACAGCCTTTTAGTGGTGGTAAATCCTCATGTAAGCATCATTTTGCAAATGTGTTCTACTGGCTTAGAGGAGTAGGTTGCACCTGAATAACTTACCAGTTTGGCAGAAGGAGTGCAGATGCTCATTTCGTTGTAGATAGTGTCAAGAAACCTGAAACTGGGATATTAAAGGTTTTATTAAAGATTAGTTGAGATAAGTGAAAGAGTTGTAAGCTGTGCTGATATAATAGGTCTGTATATCTGCAATGGGATAGTGAAAAATGGTGAAGGCTTAAGGAAACGGAAAAACTGGAAGTTACCAAACGATTGCACTTTTTCAGCGTTAAAAAGCCTGTTTTGAAACGTAACATTTGTGCCTCGTGTTCCTGTCTGTATTATCACTGGAATGAGTACCTTTCAGCTTTAAGGCTGATTTCAGTGTGTCCTTTGTCTTTACAGTGAGGCAATGAATCGAGGGCTGATACTAAGGTTTGAAAATCTGGTGCAGTTACGTGGTGCTTGCCAACAGCTGCATAGTCTCTCCTGCCGAAGGGTGAACAGAGCACAATGGAAGCCTGTGCAGGCCTCTGCACAGCCCGTGTGGTCCTTGCTGCTGTATCCACGGTTCTGGCAGAAAGACAAATTAGCCACTATTGCCTTATCGCAACACAGACATCTAGCTACAAAGGAGGTAATTAACATAATCCAATCCTCTCTGCTTTTATGTGAAATTTCAAAGTAGAAGAGCTCAGTTTGAGCATCTAGAGGTCAAAATAAGGAGCTTTATTGATGAACATAGGGAATTTGTTATAAGACAAAATGTACTTAATGTGTGATTGTATTATGACTCCCTTTCAAATGCTGACTTAATGTGCTTGTACCAGCAGCATCATGAATCTTGCAGAGGCAGGAGGAAATTATTACAAACAAAAATGAAAATTATTTTGTTGAGGTTTTTTCCTTGTTTTTAAACGATTAAAAATGAAAAAAAGGTTGTTTAGTATACTATACATTTTAAATATTCAGTGTGATGTGTTAAGTCATTGTAATTAAGTTATTGTAATTCATTACTATTGTAGTAAAAAAGATGTGTTTACATCACATAGCTTGAGACCATTGTCTTTTTAATATTGTTTATATTATTTCTTAGTTTATGCCAGCTATGTGTTCATATATACATGTCTAATTCCATGTAGGAGACAAAAAAGAAGAAAACAAAGATCCCACTGACAAAAGGTGAAGTGGAGATAAGGCAGAAGATGACTGTTGGGGAACTTGCACAAGCTATGGGTAAAGATGTAGGTGAGACCCTGCTCTGTTGTTTGAGATACTTTTAAACTGTCATATTTCATTCAATCATGACACTTCCAGGAGTGGCAAAGATTATGATGGCAGTAGTTAGTGGTTAGTAGTCCCTCTGTATAATACCAATTGCCAAGCTCTTTTTATCCAGCTCAGTGCTTCTTTTGTAAAATTTCCTTCTCAGCAACAAGGGCAGGAGCAGAAAAGCCTGTCACATCTTGCTCTATATTTCTGAGGTAGATTTGTAATGGTTCTTAGGTTAATGTGTAGCAATTTTCAACTACTGCAGTATGTTCTGTATTTCTGTTACCAAAGACAGTGGCATGTGAACAGATTTATCACATTTCCTTCCTCCTTGAATCACTTCTTAGCTGTTTGGTTTGGATAAGTTTCAGTTGTTTGTTAGCAGTTAATGGAAAAGTAGGCTGTGAAAATCTGAGTGAAAAATAAGGTTGTAGCATCTAATTTTCAGTAAACTTTTCTGAATCAAATTCTCCATAGGTAGTGTAACAGGATCTTTTAGATAAATCTAAATGAAGAAAAATGTTTGGTGAATGAAGCTTACTAGCACACTATAAATTACTAATGAAAAAGCCTTAAACTATTCAAAGTGGGTTTTTTTGGTCCCGCATGATTTTAGGGATGTAATTGTTAAATGCCTTTATCTTCAGATCATATTTATGAAGCACTGCTGTACACAGACGTTGACCTTGATTCACTAGAACGAGATTCTGTCTTATATGAAGACCAAATCAAGCTAATTGTTAAAAAATCAGGAATGAAATATAAATCAGCAAAACTGAAAGAGGAAAAAGAAAGAATAAACACAGATGCTGTGAAAAGGTAAGCTGTGAACTGTTCCTTTGGGTTTATTTTATCCTATTTGTTCTGCAAGTGTTTTTCATACACTGTATTTCTTTTTTTCTGACAGTGTTTTGATAATACCTGATATAGTCATAGTCTGATAATTTCTGAATGGTGAAGTTTACTATTTTGATTTCTTTGGCCATAAAACTGGTATTTGGATTGGATTTATGCTCGGTGGGCTTTTTCTATGCTGTTTGCTGAAGGAAAAGCCAATTCTTTGGTGCACTGAATTGCTGTCTGACATGATGGAGCAGTAAAACAGCACTGAGAGGGCTGTGTGGTGTGTCTAGGATGTGTGCTGGCAGTGGGAAACTGCCGTCACCTCTTCATCACTGAGTTCTGGTAGATGGCTCTTAATTAACCATATTGGGAATGCATGTCACTGAATGAACATTTTTACAAGACACGTTTTTATTTTGATGGTAGGCCTCCTCCAGACCCAGCAGTACTAACCCCACGGCCCCCGGTTGTAACTATCTTGGGCCATGTTGATCATGGGAAAACAACCTTACTTGACAGTCTCCGGAAGACTCAAGTGGCATCAATGGAAGCAGGAGGCATCACACAGCACATTGGTGCTTTTCTTGGTATGAGCCACGTGTACGTGCTTGTGTATTGAACCATTTACTCTCCATCTTGCATAATGGGCTGACTTGCCAGTGAACTGGGGGGAAATTTTGCAATATAAACAGTTCATATGTAAGCAGTGAAAAATGAAATAATAACTTACGATGACTGTCATAACTCTGGATGTAGCTTCAAAATTGATTGTCTGCACAGTTGAAATTATATGTAGACTATTTTGGATTATGAAAGATGCCAGGACATGTTCTCTTTTCCCGAGGAGTTAAAAGCATCTTTGACCTCCATGCCACAGTCTGCCTAGAATATGTCATTTGTATTAAAATATTTCCCAGAGGAGTGATGCTTGTTTTACAATAGATCAAATAAAGCTATGTGAAATGTTGATTTTAAAATGCCCTGTATATGTTTGTTCACAGTCCATTTGCCCTCTGGGGAAAAGATTACTTTTCTTGATACTCCTGGACATGCAGCTTTTTCAGCCATGCGAGCAAGAGGTACACATGTTACTGACATAGTCATTCTGGTGGTAGCAGCAGAAGATGGAGTGATGCAACAAACTATTGAATCCATTCAGCATGCTAAAAATGCAGGAGGTACAGTGTTTAATTTGTTAATATGACATTTTGAAGTGAGTGCCAATCCCAGTACATAACATAAATGGTTTATGTTCCTTTGCAAACATTTATTCCCCTCTCAAAAGAAACTTGCTGAATTAGAATCCACAGAAATCGGGAAGTAACTGTCATAGTCCCATCTCCTCCTCCCCTGGGAAGATGTTTGAAAATGAGTGTTGTGTTAATACATTAAGATATTTTAATACTGATATTGCAGGTTTGCAATAAAAGCTCACATAGGGTGTGTGTGTGTGTGTGGTTTATTGTTACTTTTTTTATCCTTCCCTACCAGGATAAATCCTCCAGCTTACTCATGATAGTTCAGTTCTCAATGGCTGCCTGAGGTTGCTCAGGAAATAAATATCAAGTGAGATGGTTTGTCCTGAGTTGTCAGAACCTGCACTAATTTCATACAAGGTGCAGTGGCGCTAATAGCAGCAAGTTTTGGTTAGGTTGGTAATGAGTTTGTTTGTTTTCTTATTAGTTCCTCTTATCCTCGCCATTAATAAATGTGACAAACCTGAAGCTGATCCTGAAAGAGTAAAGAAGGAATTGCTGGCTCATGATGTGGTCTGTGAAGAGTTGGGAGGTGATGTTCAAGCTGTAAATATTTCTGCACTTAAGGTAAAGTTCTGATGGAAAATGATGGTGTTTGTGGGTGTCTCGTGTGCATACAGCTGCATTTTTATTTGGTAGTTGGAAGATAAGTGCTTATCTTCCTGGGATTTGACACCTTACAATGCGCTACCAAGGGCTGCTAGCTCACACTAGAATTGAGACATACTTCTGTCATATTTTGAGGCTCAAACCTTCAGTGAGCAAGATTATCTTAATTTTATTTTGAAAATCTAGTGGATATTTTTTAGGTTGATCCTAATTGCTGTTTCCTCATGTATTTGCTCATTGTAAGAAATCAGTACAAAATCAAAGTTGGTGATAATGCTATGCATGAAGAAAAAAACTCAACTCAAGTGAGGGTAAATAAATATTTTTCTTAAATGTGCCTAATCACAGGAGCATAGTCTGTAGTGATCTTACAAGATTTACCACTTTATCCTTGCAAACAACTGAGAGCTAAAAACCAAACTAAAATCCGAACTTCAGTTTTGTGGTGGCCAGAGCAGCTTTGTCCAAATGGATGCAGCAGTATCCTGGCCTTATTGCTATCTTTCTAAATGGATCCCAAGTAACTTTCCAAGATTTCAGGCAAGTTCAAGACATTTTGAAGTCATGCCCTTACACTTCAAAATAAGCATAAATAAAATTGGCATCGCCATTCACATCTGTAGCAGATGTTGGTGTCCTGATTCCTGTAGATCTGGGTCTGCTACCTGACAGCTAGCTCCTTGTATGTGTTCTGAAAAACAAAATGTAGTTAGAACAAAGAGGGGGGAGGGGAAGAAAATAGACCAGTAGTTTTGACTCTGATATCCTGGTGTCTTGACTGTGTGTTAGTTTCAGCTTGGATAGTTTAGATATTTTGTTTGGCTGTTTTTTTTTTTTTCCTTCTAATTTGCATTCCTACTACAGTTGTAGCAGAACATTGCAAGGTCTTCTTTTATTGCACCTTAACCTGAAGGCTATGAACAGAGGAGCCAGAGAACTGTCCTTCCTAATGTTACATGCATTTTTGATTGGCTGTGCAGCCATTAATAGTTCATGGCTTCGGTGCCATCTTGCTTGAAGGCGAAGGCATCTGTGCAGTTGGACTGTATTGCCTTGTTAGAAGTTCTGAATTAAATAGGGGAATTTGGCACTAAGATTTCAACTTCTAATCTTTTGACACTTCCTGTATTCTATATATTTTTTGTGTGTATGGTTTTATACAGGGTGAAAATCTGATGGTTTTGGCAGAAGCAACTGTTGCTTTAGCAGAGATGTTAGAACTGAAGGGAGATCCCACAGGTCTGGTAGAGGGGACTGTGATTGAGTCTCGAAAAGATAAAGGAAAAGGGTAAGTAATCTGCCTGCTGTATTTGCAACTCAATGAGGCAGTTTGTAACAATGTAGACATACTGTTCAGGTGGTTTGTACATCAATATTTATGTTTAACATTGAACTTTTTGTTAGATACAACTGTAACCCTTTCTTTGCAGTGTTTGTAAGTAAAGCATTGAACTGTTATTCTACAGCATGAGAGCCATGAAAAAGAAGTGATAAACTGACAGGACAAAATTCATTACTGAAATAAAATCCTGTAAGCACAGGAAATAGTTGTATTTTAAATGTTATTGAAAAGTAAGAATCATTAAGTTAATAGTAATTTTGGTCCTTTTGTAGGTTATCTGTAAACTGTGTTCTTCCATCTTTAAAAACAAACTGAATTCTAGCAAGTTGTTGAAATTTGGGGTGTTTTTTTGATGGGAGGGTCACTTAAGTAAAATAAGTCTGTTGCTGATTTAACAAATGCCAGTTTTTTTAATTATCTGCAGAAATGAAAATTGTCCAGTACAGGTTTGGGTTTTCTTGCAAGTAACTTTAAAATGTTATTAGCACTCTAATAAAATGTGTCAGAAGAATATTCTGCCTGTGATGGATCACAGCACATTTAATTTTGTTTGCTTTCTTACACTAACTGAAAATGGGGAGAAGTGTCACTTAATTTTGTCTGTTGTTTTTCTCCTCTGCTCTTCACTAGTCCACTTACCACAGCTATAATCCAAAGAGGAACTCTGAGAAAAGGCTGTGTTCTGGTTGCAGGGAAGACATGGGCAAAAGTGCGTTTCATGTTTGATGAGAATGGGAAGTCTGTAGATGAAGCCTCTCCAGGCATCCCAGTGGAAATTATGGGCTGGAAAGAAGTTCCTTCAGCGGGAGATGAAATCCTTGAAGTAGAATCTGAGGTACACAAATAAATGTTTAATGGAAAACTCATACTGCAGTAAGATGGATGGGAAGGAGCAGAGTTAAAAATAAGTGATGGCTTTCATTCTAAATAACCCAGGTAATCTGATGAAAGGCAAAGTTCTATAAGAGGAACAGTCCAGAATGCCTTCTACTGAGGTTATCTGGGATATGTTCTAATGTGTTCCCTTTCTAAAGGCACAGGAGACTTTTCTCTTTTACATGATCATTATGACCTTACTTGGAGAACAGTCCAGTACTTAATGGTATCAGTGTTTTAATTTTAGAATGAGAGAACTAGTTTCTGAGAAAATAGTACCATTAAATATAGCTAGAAATAGGTGGTGTGAGAGCTGGATAAATACCACATGAAGGGATAAACAATAATTTATTCTCTTCTTCAATGCAGAGATACCATAAAAACAGGCCTTGAGTCATGTTGTAGCTTCCTTCCTGGGCTACAGTCGTGCTCATTCTCAGCAGTCCTTGCAGCAAAATCTATTCTTAAATGTGAGAGAAGGTGAGCCTGTAGGGAAGATGCAAAAGGATGAAGCTGTATTAATGTAGAGTTTTCTGATGCAGTGCTTTGAAAGGTAACATTTCTGTCTCTTCCTGCCCAGCAAAGGGCACATGAAGTTGTGGCTTGGAGAACCTATGTTGAACAACAGGAGAAGATGAAAAAGGATGTAGAAGTTATTGAAGCAAAGCAAAAGGAACACAGGATAGAATATGAGAAGAAGCAACAGAAGTTTGCCCATCTGACCTGGAGACAGAGGAAGGCAGTGCTGTACAAAGCCAATAAGCACCTCATGTTTTCAAAGCCTAAAGAGAGAACAGAAACGGACAAAAATGTGCTGTCAGTAATTGTCAAAGGTGCTGTCCAATTGTTTACTATTCCATTGTTTTGTGCTTCTCAAGTGGTCAGACTGAAGCGTAGCTCTAAACTGTTAACAAAATTTGTGTTAACAGAAATGTGATCAATTTAAAACTGAACAGATGATGTAACCTCTCAGTAAGGGAGGGGTATCAAACATCAAGCAGGGCCAAAGCGAACAGGAGTCTATGAACCTGACCACTTTATTCAGGAATG